TACGAACCCTTTGTACGAACAAAAGTAAGAGAAATTTAGGAGAAGAATACGAACATGTTCTTGCATGAGGCACACTGTGTGATGGAGGTCAATGGAAGGCAATTAAGTTTAAATCAAATAAACAAAAGAGGATCGAGTTAAAAATAAATAAAAAGGTATTCAAGCTACATTCAGAACAAAAACACATCCAACACTTCAAGTTAGCTGTTTGTGCTCTTTCAGGTCAGACATGTTCAGACTGTCAGGAAGTGCCTCTGTTGTTTTCCTCTGCCGCTCTCTGTTTAATGCTGGATGAAATAAAGAAAGTGGTGGTACTTTATTTACTTTGAGCAAGTGAACGTCGTGTTCAAAAGATAATTAATCCACCAGATAATTCAGAGGCGATCTGTTCGTTGAGTTTCACTCCAGGAGCTGCGAGGCTTTCAAGCTACGTTCAGACCGAACTCTGTTTACTGAACCAGCAGCTGCTGACATCATTACGCTCTTGTGCGATGCTGCGTTCAGAAAAAGCATGGAAAACTCACCACTCTTATGCCAATACGGTCGCAATGATGYRTTTAGGTACCGAAACATGGTACCGTTTGATGTTAYRTGAAYAGGTTCTCAGTAGTTCCGACAGATTTTGGTCGGTATAAAGTATCAAATTCGATACCCATCCGTWAGTAACAGTGTAGCAGGTTCACTGCTACATCAGTGAAGACGACATTCATGTAAAAACAGATGTTTCCACCTTTCTGTGTGTCGGACAGACGTYCACTGTGAGGCAAGCTCAGAGGCCAGGACCAGCTCACACACAGTCACGTCTCCATGAAGCACAAAGCTTCAGCTCRTTCATTTTGTTGCCAGTGAGCAAAGAAAGAAATATTCCAGGAGGCCGTGGACAGACAGCACTGGTGATGATGATGTGCAGTACACTGAAGTAATGTAATTAAGGTCCTGTCACACGTGACGTTTTAGACAACTAATGCCACATCTGCAAATTCTGTCATCCTACATGTTGCTAACGACTTAAACACATATAAAACCCAAGAGTAAATTATTCCGACTTTAAACATGTGTACACTTATAACAAAAAGTTATGTTTGCTTCATCCTGCTGGTTTCAGACACGTCCACTTATGAGTAACAAATTACTAACTCAGCTGTAACATGTGAACTGATGCATAAATTATCTGCAGCATACCTGTAACTTATGTCTCACTTATCAGCAGAACTTATAACCTGAACATGTTGAGCATGTCCAAAAYTACTGTCTGTCCATTGTGCTGATTACATWTTCACAACGTAMACCTAACTGTGCGRCTTACAGCAGCATGCTGGACACAAATTGCRTAAGTTGTYTAAARCATCACAGAGTGACAGGACACTGACCRCTCAGCAAAGCAGAGGATTTRCAGCTCCTCAGGTATTTCTACAGACAAAAAAGAAACATCAGTTTCTGCAAACCTGCAGGGCTTTATGCAAACTGAAGTTTGACTTCACTGAACTTGAAGCTGAAGCACTCTGCAGCTGCAGAGCTGTGAGACACATACCAGAGGTGGGACCAGGTCCAGCATTTCCCCTACCATTATCTAAGAGGGCCTGTCCCTGCTGCCTTTTGAGTGAAGGCAGGGGACACCTGGACAGGTCTCCAGTCTCCATCAG